CCCCCCATTCACGATACGATGGCGCGATGGAGTGATCGGATGGATTATGGCTCGACAGAATATCCAAACGAGCCCGCCACGCCACGCCAATGGACTTCAGTTTCCGCATTCACGGTACAATTTTGGAGCGACACCGCGCCATTTGGACGAATGGAGCGATCGTGAATGGCGGCCTTTAGGTCTCCTTCTGTCCTTCCTGCAGTTTTTCTGCTTTATTGTCTTCCACACCAAGATCTACCTCATATGCATTTAGTTTCAGCTGCCAGCTCCATTTCTATAAGTTCTTCCTGCTTTTCCAATTTATGTTTTAGAGTCACAGTAAAGAAACTCATCTTGATATTTCTGAAACGCTATTGTATGCAGTCTGAAAAATGTGACTGATATAAGTACACCCTTTTTTATTCTTGCCTTGCTCTATAGAAAGAGAACTTCCTTTCTTGTAGTTTCCCATGCATGTTCTGTAAGACAGGTGTTAGATATTTTATGTGTGTCATTGACTGTTGCAGTCTCGTGTAATATACACCAAACTGTTTCATGACATCTTGTCCCAAATTAATTTCTTTAATTTGGCTTTATCCATTTTTCTCTTCACTAGTATTGATTCTTTTCTAACGTCTTTCTCCCAGTGTTTCTTTTAACATTTTCTGTATATCCTTTATTTATGCATACATACCTTTGATGTTATAACTTGCCATTCAGTGAACTTTGAGGTTCCTTAAAAAAGTGGGCAATTTCTTCACTAGCTAAATGTGCTGTTGGCCTGCCAAGAAGGACTGTGGTCCATGGAGTTGGTTATGCTGAATGAATTTAATAACTGTAATTTATATATTGGGGTATTTAACTTTTATTTCCATTCATTGATTTGCTTCATTCATTATTTGCATTTTGTTCTTCATCATATTCTATACTTAAAAAAAGTTTGTGATTAAAGCACCACTCAATTTTGTACTGTGCATTATTCCAAAAACAGCTGCTTGTTTTTTTTTTGGCCTTGTTGGACCGGAGGTCTCTTGGGTATTTTTATATTAAAAGAAAATGGATTTTGGTCTGGCATTTTTATACATAAATCAGTCAATCTTTATCCTTCCCACTTTTATGTTTAGGTCATCAGCAATGATTAACTGTTTGTTTCTGTTAAATTATTTATCTGTGCCAAACTTGTTTGATGAACTCATTCTTGAGTCTTCTGGAGGAACGTACACAACTGCGAGTACCATTTCTCAACCAGGAATGTTCTTGTCGTTATTGTAACACCCACCCTATCTCTCACTACTTCCTCAGTCCGCTCCAGCAGTACACATAATTGCCAAGAACTTCTTCCTTTTTCATTTGTTTCAGCAAGAAAAACAGTGCCGAGTTTTTTTACTTATTTTTTAATTTTTACTTTGGTATTTTATTACTTATTCTTTGAACATTCCAATGTCTATTTTATAATCTTGTAGCTTGGATCATCATAGTTTTAATTCATCTGGTGTCTGTGCCTTCTTGAGTTTTTTTAGCAGTTACAAAGGTTTTCATGAGTGATGGGCCACTGGCCTCTCACATTAACCCCAGTTCTAGAGGATCTGAGACTACTCTTTGACCTATCTCATTTAGTGGTCATACCAACAAACCTGTCAGGGTCACTGATACAACCCTCCCCAACATTTCAGGATGATAGTCCATAGGGAGGAAGAAGAGTTAGGTCTGCATGTTTTATTCAAGCATTGTATTTCTTAATTTTTATTTATAAATTTTGTTTTTGTTTTAGTGAATTCCTTATATCCATGAGTTTTCTACCAAAAGGTTACCTCATGTTCAGTAGTAATGATTTTCGTCTCTTAGAGTGATAGATTTAGGAGTTGTACACTAACCATTACTGTTTTTATACCTGTCAGGTAGAAAATGAGAATTTATCAATAGAAAGAGTAATATATGTTAGTGATTCAGTGATAAGGGGAGAATGCCCTTGCTGCGATTGGCCGGGTCATTGCATCCGTCCATTGTGGGAGGCAGATATACTTATACCAAAACTTTGGTAATGTTGCTAATAATTTAGTTATATGATATTATTCATCAAAATATCATACTGGTAACTGATTTACAAATAAATACCTTTGTGAGAGGCAGCTGTGTTTGGATGTAGCTACAGATGTTTAATTAAATTTAAATCATATTCCAAACAGACCAATAATATTGGCTTCTATGTAGTTATGTCTCACAAAATATGTAATTCGATGGCTGTAACTAGAGAAAGTTTTCGCAACTAAGGAATGTGAACGAACAGTTGGATTTGGGGTTTTCACAGCAGTGAGTATGAAGATGGCTGTCTTCTGGGTTGTAGCGCCGTGCAGTCAGTCTGGTAGAAGTTTACTGACGTTTCAGAGGTCCTTGCTACCTCCATCATTAGGGCTGCCATCCTACATGGTGCTACAACCCAGAAGACAACCATCTTCATGAATGAACAGTTACTGATGCTAAGAAAAGGCTTGAGAATGAAAGTTAAGAGTTATAATGAATGAAAAATGTTGCATGGAATATGAGAAATGTAAACAGCGTTTGCAGCAAGATTATCCATGCCATCCTTGCACTCAGTTCTTGAATACTTTCAGATCATACAGATTCGACAGCATTAATTTTTGTGGTGGCAGGTTGTCGTCTTTGCCGAATTGACCACTTTTAAGTGTCAAACGTGCGGTCGGGGTAGACGTTGAGATCTTGAGTTATGATAAATGTAAACTTGACTTCTGCGATATTGTCAGATGTTTTCATGAGTTAAGTGTGCTCTTATCATTTCTCAGATCTGACTTGATGTTACAGTATAAACGATACTCGAGAAGTGGGAAATGGAGAAATTTCTGTAGCTATGTCTGATTGTATTGGAAGGAGCTGCTTTTTTTACATTGATGGATTGGAAATAATAATAGCTTCAGTCTCTGTTTCTTCACCTAGCAGGTTTAGTAATTTTTATGACCCTGAAGCTGGTGTATTATCGGTAAGTGCACTAGTTCTCACTTCAGTTACTTCACATTTCAATATAATTAACAATGAAGCTGATATGCGTGAAATTAAAAAGTGTGCAGCTGTGAGAAACAGTTGTGGTATTTTTTTCAGTTGTGTATGGTATTGTAATGTGAAAAAACACAAATTAGAATAAATATTCCACTTTAATATATGTTTTGTATACAAACACTAGGTTAGAAAAAAACTTAAGCAGGAATTATTCAGAAACATTAAAGCCTTTTGGAAGCACTTTATGTATATGAAATTTCAGATTTCCGCAGCATTGAAAATGTGGTTTGTGGTCTTCTCTGTTGTGGCACCAGGTAGTTACCAGAATTCCGTATGACATTTTTGTACCTTTTATTAACTGCCCCACAAATTTCAATGTATTTCATTGGGTATTTGAATTAAGAACTAGTATTTAGTTGTCTTTATTTTAAAACTTATAATCTTATTATTCTTCAAGAGTATTATACATCTATAAACATAGTT